TTTTCTATATATATTAGTTGGCCAATTAATTTGTTTCTATTTATAGTAGAGACGGGGTCTCGCTCTTGCTCAGGCTGGTTTCGAACTCCTGACCTTGAGTGACCCGCCCGCCTCGGCTTCCCAGAGTGTTAGGATTACAGGCGTGAGCCACTGCGCCCGGCCTGATCCTGATTTTAAGAGACAGGATGCTGTGCTACTTCTACTGATGTTTTGTTATATTTTTGCAGTTGTTTTCTAATCAAACTTTGAGCTTCCTCACTAAAAAAATTTTCAAAGTTTCAGCTTATTCATTGCAATGGCCAAGAACTTCTTTATTTATAACTTATGGAATAAAAGCACAGAGGTTCACAGAAGGCGGATGTCACTATGGAAACACACCCAGTTAGAATTACTTTTCAAAATATAGGTATGCAAGATGAAAAACTCAAATGGGGAATATAACATAAAATACACTTGAAGATTGAATTTGTATCCAGCCAAGAGAGTTATGATAATTTCTATTGGGCACAACTTTGCTTTAAACTTTCTAAACTAGTTGCGTGCTGTGATTTTGGTGAGGCTGAGTAAATGTTTGGATTCATGGGGCTTCCTAACAGTGTGCAATTTCTGCCCCAAACCTTCTCAGAGAAGTTTCTTCTTGTTCAAGCAGACAAAGGTTATGGAGTCCATTACCTTGTCTTCCTAATGTCTTTCAAAAGCAGAACTATAAAAAGGGATAGACATATTTTCAAACCAATAATCATGAGTTTCTATATTTATTTAAAAATACTGGAAAATAATTTTATTTCTTGTTTGTGTTTACTAGACCTCTTAACATGTTGACAAGGGGTAAATGTTCTCTGGAAGAGTCCTCCTGAAAATACCTTATGCTGGAAATTGGGAGATAGAAAAGCAGAAGGAAGTTCTAATAAAGACTGTGTTTCAAAGACCTTAAAAAAAAATTTTTTTTTTGAGACAGAGTCTCACTTTGTTGCCCAGGCTGGAATGCCATGGTGTCAGCCTAGCTCACAGCAACCTCAAACTCCTGGGCTCAAGCAATCCTTCTGCCTCAGCCTCCCAAGTAGCTGGAACTACAGGCACGCATCACCATGCCTGGCTAATTTTTTCTATATATTTTTAGCTGTCCAAGTAATTTCTTTCTGTTTTTAGTAGAGACTGGGTCTCGCTCTTGCTCAGGCTGTCCTGGAACTCCTGAACTCAAATGATCCACCCACCTCGGCCTCCCAGAGTGCTAGGATTATAGGCATGAGCTCTTGCACTTGGCCAAGACCTTCAAATTTATAAAAAACAAAATGCTGGCCAGGAACAGTGGCTCATGCCTACAATCCCAGCAATTTGGGAGGCCAAGGCAGGAGGATTGCTTGAGGGTAGGAATTTAAGACCAGCCTGGGCAATATAACAAGACGCTGTCTTTGACAATTAGACAAAATAATTAATAATAAATAATTAAAACAAAATGCTCTAAAACTTTCCTATGTTTTACATATATTTTGTGTTTCTGGCTACTCTTCCTTACCATCCTTTCTTTCTGTCTGACTAAAATCCCAAGCCCCAGGTGGTAGTTCACCAGTTTCAACCTGACCTTATCTGCTTTCTGTGTGGAATGTTTAAGACATCCAAAGTTATTAAAAATTCATACCCAAATTGCATGTTGGTATTGTTATTATGAGAAATTGTGTGTGTGGTGTGTGTGTGTGTGCGTGTGTGTGCGTGTGTGTATGCTTGAGAGAGGGAGAGGTGTGGAATAAAGCAAATGATTTACAATATGATATTCTGATTCTATCATCCCAGGTGACCTTGAGAAAGAACTAGAATACTTTTTGGGAAAAGGGCGCTATAGTTGTTAGGATAGAAGAGGTTAGGTAAACTCCCTGTGGTACTTTTACCACTTCCCTGACAATGCTAGGACCTTAAAATTTGTTAACTCTACTACCCCTCTCCTGCCTTTGTGTTATAATAAGCATCCCTAGCATCCAGACTACAGTCTTGAAATACCATATCTCACTAAAAGAAACCAGGGCTGCTTAGACAAATGTTTCATTCCAGGTTTGAGGCAGGAAATGTATAAAATGAGCCAGGAGCATCTTGTCCTGCCAGCTAGCAAAAAGCTATCAAAAACTATTAGGGTTGTAACAAAAGGAATTGGGAAAACAATCTGCAGAGGCTCAAGATGGAATAAATTATGCATTAATAAGAGTAACTGCAATGCACTAAAAAATGTCAAGTATGTTTAAATACATGAGCATAATGAATTTTTAAAATAAACCTAATAAATCACCTTTGCAGGAGGCTAACAGTTGTCTATTTTGCAACCTGGTAAATAAAGGTAAGAAGTATTTGTCCTGCCTTTACTCTACAAACTATACCTTTGGGTGAACAACCAGTAAATGAGGAAAAATTTCTCTTTTTAAAAGTATTTCAGGCCGGGCGCTGTGGCTCACGCCTGTAATCCTAGCTCTTGGGAGGCCGAGGCGGGCGGATTGCTCAAGGTCAGGAGTTCAAAACCAGCCTGAGCAAGAGCGAGACCCTGTCTCTACTATAAACAGAAAGAAATTAATTGGCCAACTGATATATATATATAAAAAATTAGCCGGGCATAGTGGCACATGCCTGTAGTCCCAGCTACTCGGGAGGCTGAGGCAGAAGGATCACTCGAGCCCAGGAGATTGAGGTTGCTGTGAGCTAGGCTGACGCCATGGCACTCACTCTAGCCTGGACAACAAAGTGAGACTCTGTCTCAAAAAAAAAAAAAAAAAAAAAAAAAAAAAAAGTATTTCAACAAATATACCAAGAAGAAATGATAGCATTGGAAATCACCATTGTGCAATCCTTAATGAATCAAGAATCTAGGTATTGAGCATCTATAGCTGCTAATATCATGAATAGACAACCAGATGTCAGAAGTCTTTTGACAAACACACCACCACCTATGAAGTAGTCTTGACAAAAAAATTAACCCTGAATCTGATTAAGCCTTTAGATCTAACTACAAATTTATAGGCAATACAGAGGACAGAGGGACATGCTTTTCTAAACAATAGGAACATGTCAGTAAAATACCAACATTTGGAAAGTAGGCTATATGATCCAGATTCCTCAACAAATAACATTGCTAGGGGTTAAAAGAAGAGATGGATAGGGAACTTACAGAGTAAGAGAGCTAAATCCAAAACAAACGCAAAGCTAAATACAGTGTTTAGGGATTTACACTTGGGTGATATGGTGGGTTGAATGGTGTCTACTCTCCCCAAATATATTCACATCCTACTCCCTGGAACCCATGAACGTTACCTTTATTGGGAAAAGGGTCTTTCCAGATGTAAGTTAGGGATCTTGAGGTGAGAAAGTCATCCTGTATTATCTGGGTGGGCCCTAAATGCAATGATGTGTCCTTATAAGAGTTAGGCAGAGGGAGATTTGACACAGCTGGAAGAAGAGGAGACAATGTGACCAGAAGGCAGAGACTGGAGTGATATGGTCACAAGTCAAAAAATGTCAACAGCCAGCAGAAGCCAGAAGAGCCTCCAGGAGTACAGCCCTGCTGACACCGTGATTTCAGACCTCTTGCCTCTAGAACTCTTAAGAGAATAAATTGTCTTAAGCCATCCAGTTTGTAGTACATTTTTTTACAGCAGCCACAGGAAAAAACTAGTAAAGCAGGGTGATAATATCCAGAAGGAGAAAGAAAATAATCATCTTAGTGAAGACAGAGGTTATTGGGAGGGATTTGGGAGGTACATGTGGAAGGGGTCTTGGGGCGTTGGCAAGGTCTTCTCTCCTGACGTGGATGCCAGTTACAAGGGGGGTGCCCTTTAACAACTTATTTATTTATTGAGACAGAGTCTCACTCTGTTGCCGGGGCTAGAGTGCCATGGCGTCAGCCTAGCGCACAGCAACCTCACACTCCTGGGCTCAATCAATCCTGCCTCAGCCTCCCGAGTAGCTAGGACTACAGGCATGTGCCCCCATGCCCAGCTAAGTTTTTTTCTAAATATTTTTAGTTGGACAATTAATTTCTTTCTATTTTTAGTAGAGACAGGGGTCTCACTCTTGCTCAGGCTGGTCTCAAACTCCTGACCTTGAGCAATCCTCCTGCCTCGGCCTTCCAGAGTGCTAGGATTACAGGCATGAGCCACCACGCCCGGCTGCCCTTTAATAATTTATTAAGCTGTACATTTATTCCATGTGGATTTCTGTATTTGTATTATATTTAACAGTAAAAAAAGGTTTTAAAAAAATCATACCACAACTAGTGAAGCTCTTATCTCAAATGTCTTCCTGTGCATAAGGTTCTATCATCTCTAGACTGGGAAGGTGTGACACGCTTCCTCCATGAGCAAGGTGTGAAGAGGAAAAAGCTAAAGGGACAGGAGACGGCTATAGAAACATACCTTTGGGAAACCATAAGTACCATTTTTATGTATCTATCTGTCCAGAAAAGAACTAGAAACAGGATTTATCTGTGGACTTTCAAAAGGAAAGCTGTATTTTACAAGTTTTAGCAGCTTATAAGCTTTGCTAAGAGTGTTCACAGATTACACATGACCAGATAGTGAACAAAGTTTGGGGGATCATAATTGGCTATACCCTGTTAAGGCCGATGGATACAGTGCTGGTATTACAGATTCCCCAACAAAGTTAAAAGTTGAAATACTGACAATCTTTATTGACAATCTTGTGTGTACAACAGAGTGCAACTTACAGTGACTCTTTCTAAACCAGCACAGAACACACCCTTAGTATGGGGCCAATTGGAATCTACAATATTCACTGGGTGTTTGTGCAAGATGCTCAACACCTCTCCAGTGAAGCCCCAAAGGGTATATGATTTTTTAAAATCATTTATTTATTTAGAGATGGGGTCTGGCTCTGTTGCCCAGGCTAGAGTGCAGAGGCAAGATCATATCTCACTACAGCCTTGAACACCTGGGCTCAAGTGATCCTTCTGCCTCAGCCCCCCAAGCAGCTAGGACTATAGGTGCATGCCACTACACCTAGCTGATTTTTAAAATTTTTTGTTGAGACAGAATCAAGCTTTGTTGCTCAGGCTGGTCTCACATTCCAAGCTTCAGGTGATCCTCACACATCAGCCTCCCTAAGTGCTAGGATTATAGGTGTGAGCCACCACAGTCTGGCCCAATGAGAATATTACTTTTAACTCAGAGGACTAACATAAGAGGTATCTGTTTATAACTAACAATTTCAAAATACCACTGAAACTCAGATTTAGAGTGAAAGACTATGTGGTAATGTCCTTGGATTACAAGAAGACAGTTCTGTTGATAATGATTTTACATTCATTGCCACATAGTTCATAAAATTTGTGTCATAAATTGCTTTTTCTTGCACTTTTTTTTTTTTTTTGGTATCTGTTAATGGTTTATTTATCAAGAGAAACTACTCATCAGCCCACATAATCATAGCTCAGGAACACAGGTCAAGAAATTCTTTTATGTTCCAAAATCACTTTGCACTCTGAAAGATGCCAGCCTTCCTCATCTCAAAATCTTTCATCGAATCATAATTTCTGCAGAAATCTGCATATGTCTTCTTCTTTGGTTCAGCCACACCAAACTTATACAAAGTTGCAACTCCCAGGGATACCATGAATGCTCCAACAATATGAATCTGCAGACGCCTGGCCAGGAGGCCACGCATCTGAGTTTTCGCCAAAGTGCCGGAAGCCATGGTAGTAGTTACTGTCCTTGATGGGTATGCCAACCTCACCACGTCCTTCCTGGCTGATTTTTCTTGCGCTTTTATAATTTATGTACCCCTGATTTTTACTAAAGAGTGTTATATACATTAGGAGATGCTGTATTTATTGCCTTCAATAAGAATTAAAATTCCTTTAATTTCTTGACAATAAAATTAATTTCATATTGAGCCCTTCAAATGTGAAGCATTGGTATGTTATGTTCTTTGCTACTGTGATAATTAGTGGAGCTTTACTATCAGTGTTGCTATTTTATAACTTTATAAAAATAAATATTATCTTACACTGCTCTATTTCTTAGCTGTTAAACTATTACTGCTATAGTTAAAATACTTAATATTATGAAGTACTTTGGGTTGTCCTATGTTGACATTTAAAAATTGACATTTGACAATATTGCCATTTAAAAATAATAGGCAAAGAGGCCAGGCACGGTGGCTCATGCCTATAATCTTAGCACTTTGGGAGGTTTAGGAGGATTGCTTGAGGCTAGTTTGAGACCAGCCTAAGCAAGAATGTGACTCCATCTCTACGAAAAATAGAGAAATTGGCCTGGCGCGGTGGCTCACGCCTGTAATCCTAGTACTCTGGGAGGCCGAGGTGGGCGGATTGCTCGAGGTCAGGAGTTCGAAACCAGCCTGAGCAAGAGTGAGACCCCGTCTCTACTATAAATAGAAAGAAATTAATTGGCCAACTAATATATATAGAAAAAATTAACCAGGCATGGTGGCGCGTGCCTGTAGTCCCAGCCACTTGGGAGGCTGAGGCAGGAGGATCGCTTGAGCCCAGGAGTTTGAGGTTGCTGTGAGCTAGGCTGACGCCACGGCATTCACTCTAGCCTGGGCAACAAAGAGAAGCTCTGTAAAAAAAAAAAAAAAAAAGATAGAAAAATTAGGTGTGCACCTATAGTCCCTGCTACTTGGGGGGATTAATGCAGGAGGATGGTTTGAGCCCAGGAGTTTGAGGTTGCTGTGAGCTATGATGACACCACTGCACTCTGGCCCAGGTGACAGAGCGAGACTCTGCCTCAAAAAAAAAAAAAAAAGAAAAAGAAAAAGAAAAAATTGGCAAAGAAATTACATGAAAAATCTTTGTATATTAATCTCAAGAAATATGAGAGTGTTACCATGTTGTCTTTCTATCCATCTCCTAGGAGCAAAAAACCTTTTTCCTTTTTGGCTATAAGACCCCCCACAAACACACAACCCCTCTTAGCAATATTAGAGGTTAGAACTATTTTCATATATATTCATAAACCAAATACTAACAAGGAGGATGGAATAAGAATGACTGGCTTAGATTAATTAAAATCTAAGGTTCATGATTAATGGATCAACACCTAAGTGGACATATAGGAGTAACATTAATCGGGTGTCAGGAGGGTGGGAGGGGGGAGGAGGGGATGGGTATATACAACCACGAGTAAGATGTGCAACATTTGGGGGATGGTCACACTGGAAGCTCTTACTCGAGGGGGGAGGGGGACATAGGCAATATATGTAACCTTAACACTTGTACCCCCATAATACGCTAAAATAAAAAAAATAAAATAAAATAAAAAAAATCTAAGGTACATGGATTCCTAATATACAGAAAGACCTGGGGCTCTTCTCTGCCAGCAAAGAAGGATTATAGGGTTGGTAATCCACATCTTTGATACAATTAGTGACTCTTGCATTATAATTTGTTTTCAGGCTGGATAGGCTGGCCTTTGGCAGAATGGTCTAATAGTCAATGACCCTGTCATCCAAATTTTTTTTTTTAACCAATTTTCTATCTTCCAGTTCTCAGGAGTCGCTGGGACCCATCATTGTTTTTTTTTTTTTTTTTTTTTTTTTTTTTTTTTTTTTTTTGAGACAGAGTCTCACTTTGTTGCCCAGGCTAGAGTGAGTGCCGTGGCGTCAGCCTAGCTCACAGCAACCTCAAACTCCTGGGCTCAAGCGATCCTTCTGCCTCAGCCTCCCAAGTAGCTGGGACTACAGGCATGCGCCACCATGCCCGGCTAATTTTTTCTATATATATTAGTTGGCCAATTAATTTCTTTCTATTTATAGTAGAGACGGGGTCTCACTCTTGCTCAGGCTGGTTTCGAACTCCTGACCTCAAGCAATCCGCCCGCCTCGGCCTCCCAGAGAGCTAGGATTACAGGCGTGAGCCACCGCGCCCGGCCCCATCATTGTTTTTTGTTTCTTTCTGTCAGAATCTCCTCTCAGATCAAATGGAATTGTAAAAGTCAGGTTAGGACAATATATTATTACCTGTGGTAGGCAGAATAATGGCCTCCTAAAGATGTCTATGTCCTTATCACTGGAACCTGTGAATATATTAGGTTATATGGCAAAGGAGAATTAAAGTTGCAGGTAGAAATAAAAAACAATAATATATTTTCTGAAAAATATTTACATTTTAACAAGGGACAAAGTACTTGCAAGACATTAGTCAGCCTTTCTTTGGTTACAAAAGACAAAAACCCAACTCTAAACAAAAAGATCTATTGGTTCATAAAACCAAAGTGTAGAAAAGGCAGGGATGGAACTGCATCAGGGAGGCCTAAAACCAAGATGTCAGCATCATTCCCCCACCCCTAATCACTGTGGCATCTTTATTAGTTTTCTTCACTCAAACCAGCGTAGTCCTCACAGCAGGGACCTTGGTCAATCATAGCCCCGGATCCACCCTCTAGACCCAAACATCTTCTGATAAGTTCCACCTCCAACAATGCAGATCACATTTCAACATGAAGTTTGGAGGGGACAAACATCCAAACCATAGCATAGTTCAAGTGTAGAAGTGTCCCACAGGGAATGAGTTAGGGCATCAGCACCAGCACAGACACAGCCTTGGGGAGAACTGCTCTGAGGCAGACAGAAACCCCAAGCTGCATCTACTCTGACCTAAGCAGCTGTATTTATAGTTTCAGACATTTGCAGACTAATAAAACAGGTGTTTCTGGTTGCTTTGAACATGTGATGGGAGGGAGGAAGGGTTGTCTGCAGACAGATTGTCTACTACCAGCTGATCCAGCACCTAAATTGCATCATATAACGGGCTATTTCCTTCACAGGCTGCATTAGTCAGCTTGGGCTGCTGTAACAAAATACTATGGACTGGATGGCAAACAGTCATTTTCTTCCTCCCAGTTCTGGAGGCTGGAAGTCTGAGATCAGGATGCCAACATGGCTGAGTTCTGGTGAGGGCTCGCTTCTGACTTGAAGACAGCAAGGTTTCTCTTCTTAGAAGGACACTTACTCTGTTGGATCAGGGTCCCATCCTCAGGACCTCATTTAACCTTAATTGTTTCCATAAAGGCCCTATCTCCAAATATAGTGATGTTGAAGGTTAGGGCTTCCACATGAATTTTGGGAAGACAAAAATACTCAGTCTACAACACAACAGGTATATGTTTACATAAATGGGAAAACAAAGGCTAATGTGTCCTTAAGTAAATACGTTAGATGTGAATCCTCTTTCAGTTTCAGCTAAGAAACTAAAAATAAAACCTGTGAGAAACGGCAACTTTTAAAATTTGGATAAAGTCATCTTAAGTCATGCTTAAAATCATCTCTACAATTGTCACTATTTTGTAGTACAATGTTTGCCTTCTCAGAACAATGGCTTTTATTTTAGTAAAGTATTTTTCATTCATCCTACAGTGATTTAGAACTTGAAATAACTGAAAGAAATTTGTGTACCTTCCTTAATCTTTTCTTCTGTGCACAAATCAATAGCAAAAAAAGAATTTTATATAAAATAAGAACTGCAAATTAAATGCCTCAGATCACAAACAATTTTCAAGATCCTTGGAGCACCTCCATAATGTTTTCTCTAAAAATAATCCATATCATCGTCCCTTTCACTGGATATACATATGAAATGCTAGACCTTGAGAATACTAAGATGTAGTACATATCTAAAATTTACTCAAGAGACACACTGTGTATACATAAATTATAAAATCTTAACTATGAAAATGGGAGTTTTACTTTGGCCAAAACAGGGAAGAATTCCCAGATGATAAACTTGAGTCAGGATTTTATAACCTATATAAGCTGGGAAAGGTGATTTCAATTGTTCTCATCTGTTCCATAAAACTGATCTCTAAAGCAATACTGGGCAACATATCAGTCCAGCATTAATTGCTATATGTTCTTGAGAGAAATAAAAGTCTATAATTCAATTACTAATTGAAATAGTCTACAGTTTAGTTGTTTCACTAATTCAGACTGTCCTTTAACTGAATTGGCCCAAATTCAAGCAGTCTTACCATGTACACAGTGATTTATTTATTTTTATTGAAAATTCAAAGTAATACTAAAGAAAAACATTTAAATAAATAAAAAATCATTCCATAGCTCCCTACACTAACATAATGAATTTGTTTTGCATATTACCTTCCACATGCATAAAGATTTTATAAGTCACAATCAGCGTGCATACTATTTTGTATTGTGCTCATTTTACTTACCACATCACAGACATATCCATGTTTCTACACAGTTTTCCAAATAATTATTTTAATGGCAGTATAACACTTCACTATTTTTATTAGCTCACTTTCATCTTTGACATGGATTTTTTTAAACAATTTTTTGCTATTTAAATAATGCAGACATAAATATCTTCATGCATTTATCTTTTTTTGAAATTTTTTTTAAAAAGTGAAAAATACAGGAATAGAATTTATGGGGCAAAAGATATAATCATTTTTATGTCCCTTGCTATGTTGTACTATATTGCATTCCCAAAGGGTTATATCTTTTTAAAATGACATCTGAAATAAATGTATTAAATAATCTCCTGGCCAGGCGCAGTGGCTCATGCCTGTAATCCTGGCACTCTGGGAGGCCAAGGCAGGAGGATCAATGAGCTCAGGAATTCAAGACCAGCCTGAGCAAGAAAGAGCAAGACCCCATCTCTATAAAAAATAGAAAAATTAGTCAGGCATGGTGGTGTATGCCTGTAGCCCGAGCTACGCAGGAGGCTGAGGCAGGAGGATCGCCCAAAGCCCAGCAGTCTTGAGGCTGCAGTAAGCTATGATGATGCCACTGTACTCTAGCTGGGGTGACAGAGCAAGTCTCTCTCTCTCTCTCAAAAAAAAAAAAAAATCTCCTAAAATTTTTTTTAAAAACCAGAGGTGTTAGGTAGTTTTAAACATCAGTATTTAAAATTAAAAATATTCACTGTCTCTTTTAAAAAAAAGAGTATAGAATAGATGGTCTTACAGATAACTAAAGGTTTAGAGGAGTTAAGTTAGGCAGTGCTTCCCAACTTTTCCCAAGTTATGGCACACATGGAAAGTGATCCTATAGGCACATTGGAGAAAATGGACAAAGGTGACCCCGATTACCTTTAGCTGCATCAAGGGGTGAGCAGATCCGTATCTAGGCACATCTATGACCTTCAGTGCCAATGTGCATAGACAGGTCAGGAAGCTCTAATCAAAGACAGGTTAAGTGACTCAAGTAACAAAATCTAGTTAGTGGAAGAGCTGGGAAATGAATGCAAATTATCTTCTTGTCAAGGTATTTTCTACTATACCACAACTGTTCTACATGCTTTCTGAAATTCAACTTTATAAGCAGACATGTATTTACACGTAAGAATAAAGGGCATTTCCTAACATGCTTAAACTAAAGACACCTAAGCCAGCAATTTACATCAAAGCTGAAAATTAAAAATACCCCTTAGCATAAGCAAATATTTGACTTTCTTCTCTGCAATTTTTCATACTTGCCATTCTTTTTAAATTTAGTTTGTAAACTCTTTGAACAGTAATAATCCTTTGCACATTATTTTATATATATCTGGTAGTCAGTAAATAAAGAATAACAACAATAAATTATCTACACTACAAAGGAAAAAAACAGACTTAAAGTAAGTCTACATTCTAAATAATTCTAAAGGTGAAAAGAAAATTTTAAGTGTTGATTTTGTAGAGGTAGAGAAGATTCCCTCTTTAAATTTCAAATTCCTGTTAGTTAATGGCTCTTAAGAGACATTTCATTCCATAGAATGATTCTGACCTATCCCCAGTGTTGATACTACCAGGAGGAAAAGATTCACTACAAAAGTATTTCACATTTTACCAAGTGTCAAATATTCCATATCCCCTTTGAAAAGCAGAGATTATAGGGGTTAACCCCACTTATTCAATTATATATAAACATACGATTTTTTCTTGCCCATTAATCACTAGGTTTGGGAGTAGAGTGGGGTTAGGAATTAAAATCTACCGATCCCCTGTCATGTGTCAGATCACAATAACAAGTAAGGAACTCCAAACCCTACATTCCATTCTTTTCTCACTATACTCCCAAACAGTGATTACCTGGTCATTTCTGCAGATTCAATCAGACATTATACACACAAACACACCCATGAGACCGCATGGCACTTGGGAGATTACCCACTATTTCCCACTTATTAAGATCTGGATCATATTTCTCAATGCTCTGAAGATATGTTCCCTTGGAGTAGGAGTATCCTCCAGTGACATAAATACATCCATTCATGATGACGGCACCGCACTCCATCCTCCTTTCCATCATGGGAGCTATCTCTCTCCATTCATTTTGTTCAGGGTCATAGCATTCCGTGATTGTAGTTTGTCCACCGACTAGATAGAGCTTATTTTCAAATGGAACTGAGCACAATCCATATTCTTTTAAAAAGAAAAAAAAAAAGAGCAATTTTTCAGAATAACAAATAAAGGAGATATCATAGTGTGGTGATATAATAATCCTTTCCAACTTCACATACAAAAATAAGAGTAGTGATGACGTTTTAATTGTGGCACACAGTACTGCAATATTGAGGCTTAAAATCCATTCCCTGTCACCTGATTCAAATCACCTGTTCCTGCCGCACTCCCTTTATCCCTCAGCTCACCCTTAAGCTTGGCTTTGCAAGATGCCAGGGAGGAACTCATCCCACAGACCACCACCCTTCTGGGAATTTCCCAACACAGAATCCTTTTATTTGACACCTATCTTTCAAGATGGTAGCAGCAGAGTCCTTCTTCTAGGACGACATACTAGGTAAGCTGGAGCAGATTCCTTCAGATCCTGGCAGCTATCCCTGTAACCAGTGGCAGGCAATCTGTTTTGTCTGCTGCCACAGGTGCCACACAGGATGGCTTCGCTTGCTTCTCTCACACTGCTGGTCCAGCTATGGACACAGGAAGTTAGAGAAATACACACCCAGACTGTGGGGTATGAAAGTCTATTACCCTCAGAGGGCTGCTGTGTGGGATCTGGGTCCTAGGGCTGGAAGTCTGTATCTAGGGGCCCCCTTCCTAGGCTGTTCTAGTGTTTCCCATTTTATTCATCTCCTCCTCCACATCCAAATCCATTGGCTCTTGAAGGCACAAGGACGTTTCACATCCCTACTTCCTCTCCCTTCTTCCCAGGGCTGTGATGACGGTGAGGCGAGTGAGGTGCTTAAAGTGCAAAATGTAGGGAGGCACAACTCTCTGAATCACTCTCTGAGCGATTCCTTAAATTCTGTGCCTCAAATGTCTCACTGGCCTCATCCTAGTCCCAGCCCTATTACTTCCACACTCCCACTTTTAACATCACTCCCAGCCTAATAATTCATTCTCTGGGAATATCAGTCGTAAAATTACACTCAAATACTTCTAGCTACAGCCCTGAAGGAAGAGGAAGATTTGTCAGTGGCACTTACATTACAACAAATAAATAAAGATTTAACTGGCTGTTGCTGAGCAGTTCCTTCTGTCTTGAAGTTTCTCCTTTTCCCAGGTCTTTGCGGGGCTGCTTTCTTCTTGTCACTCAGATTTTATCTTACTGTCAACTTTTCCAGAGGGCATTCCTTGCCATCCAATCTGAAGTGGCCAGTGAGGCATGCCTACCACATCATCCTATTTTAATTCTCTCCATAGCACTTCTTACTATCTGGGATATTCCTTGTGTAATAAATGTTTACTGGATCAATGAATGAATTATACCTTGTACCCTCTTGAGCCCCAATGTGTGCCCACACTATCATGTGGAAGAAAATCTTATAAGCAAGCCCTTCTTTAGAAAGAATGTACAATCAGAAATGTGATTTCCTCTTTAAGAGTACAAGACAACTTCTTATCAGTAAAGTTCTTCCTACCTAGACTGGGTGTTTTTTGTTTTTTTTTTCTTTTGATACAGAGTCTTGCTCCATTGCCTGGGCTAGAATGCCATGGCATCAGCCTAGATCACAGGAACCTCAAACTCCTGGGCTCAAGTGATCCTCCTACCTCAGTGTCCCAAGTAGCTGGTACTACAGGCACCACCACGACTGGCTAATTTTTTATTTTTTGTAGAGATGGGGTCGTGCTATGTCATTCAGGCTAGTCTTAAACTCCTGGCCTCAACAGATCCTCCCACCTTGGCCTCCCAAAACGTTGGCATTACAGGAGTGAGCCATCATGCTTGGCCCCACTACCTAGGTCTGCTAGGCTAAGGAAAGTTTCAGAAGAGGGCATCTTTGCTTTGACTCCACATATTGTTCTCAAATTTCAATTCAATTTAAATATTTTCAATTATTCAAAGAAATAATTATCCTACCTCTTTTTATTTTTACTGAGACAGAGTCTCACTGTGTTGCCCAGGCTAGAGTGTCATGGCGTCAGCCTAGCTCACAGCAACCTCAAACTCCTGGGCTCAAGCAATCCTTCTGCCTCAGCCTCCCGAGTAGCTGGAACTACAGGCACGCGCCACCATGCCTGGCTAATTTTTTCTATATATTTTAGTTGGCCAATGAATTTTCTTTCTTTTTTTAGTAGAGACGGGGTCCCGCTCTTGTTCAGGCTGGTTTCGAACTCCTGACCTTGAGCGATCCTCCTGCCTCGGCATCACAGAGTGCTAGGATTACGAGCATGAGCCACCACTCCCGGCCCTCCTACCTCTTAAAAACTCATTTGTTGGCTGGGGCGCGGTGGCTCACGCCTGTAATCCTAGCACTCTAGGAGGCTGAGGCAGGTGGATTGCTCAAGGTCGGGATTTTGAAACCAGCCTGAGTGAGACCCCATCTCTACTAAAAACAGAAAGAAATTAATTGACCAACTAAAAATATATATAGAAAAAATTAGTCGAGCATGGTGGCATATGCCTGTAGTCCCAGCTACTCGGGAGGCTGAGGCAGGAGGATCGCTTGAGCCCAGGAGATTGAGGTTGCTGTGAGCTAGGCTGACGCCACGGCACTCACTCTAGCCTGGGCAACAAAGTGAGACTCTGTCTCCAAAAAAAAAACAAAAAAACTCATTTGTTTACTTTTCAGTTATATATATGTAGAATTTTTATAGGAGTTAGTTGTTTCAAGTACTTGTAAAACATTGTTTATATAAATTATATGAATTATTCCATCAATGGTTATTGTGAAAATTAAGGGTGGTTCAAAAATGTTATCAGTTGGTATAAGTGATTCAACAATGAGCCTGCTAAGCTTTTCTTAAGTTTTTCAAAGTTTACCAAAAAATCCTCCATTTGTGTTTCCTATGTTGAGAAAGGTATCCCAGTCTTCCTATAGTAGTAAAAATGTTTAAAATAAAGTGATTTCTGATTCTTTTTCCTGTTACCCGAATATAACACAATGTTCTGTTACTGTTGATAGGAACTTTTCCTTCCTCAGCTGTAACTGCATTTTTGTCAGTCAACTCCTCTAAGCTACTAAGACTAATAAGGACTGTGCCTTATTTACTGTGTTCCTAGCACTGTGTACAGAATACGCATAGGAAACACATACCTGTTAGACATATGAATGGTGAACAAATGAGTGATCAAGCATGGGAACGACATGATCTGTCACGGCGCAAAGAGTTTACACAAAAATGTTAAAATAAATACATGGCAGTTGTATTGAGTGTTAATGTGAGTGATATGAACAAAGAGACAGAGGGATTTAGAGACAACCATGACATCCATTGGAATTGATTTCGATTTTTTTCCCTAAGATTGTTCTCATTGAAAGAATTTATAAAGCTTATGTAGTCCAACTTCCTTATTTTGCTGGAAAGTAAGGCCCAAGCGCTTAAGCCACTGTATAGGCAACTAAATAAATGGTAGGTCAAGGAGAGAGCTCTCTCTTCCCCACTCTATACAGCTCTGCACAGGCCCTTCTTTATCTACTGTTCCTTCCCTGTTCTTCATGCACTCTTCTTCCTCAGCTCATTCTTCAACTCAGCCTGTTTCCTAAGATTCTGCCCATAACTGTCTTGCTGGGCCCTCCCTCCCAAGGCATCTCATTCATCCCCATACCCACAGCCGTCATCCAAGCAAACAATGCCTAGATCTCTATATTTAGCTACATCCCTCTACCAGACCCACATTTCCCATTGCTTGCTGGACAGCTCTTTTGGGTTCTTCAACTAGTCCTTCACCCTCAACTTCAAAACTGAGCTCATCTCCTCCCCTTTTCTCCCTGCCCATTAGCTTCTCCTTCAGTACCCTCCATCCTCTCAGGCAACTGGCTGGAGGCCCTGGGATGACTGTCAACTCCTTTCTGTGCCTCATCACCTGTATCCAATCAGCCAAGGAAGCAACCAGCTGTTGAATACATAATATTCCTCACATTTGCCCCTCTTTTTCTACTCCTATCACTTCTCAGGCTTTCAGCATTCCTCATCTGGCTGTTATTAATATAGCAGTTTTAGCAGATCTCCTTGCCTTCTGTTTATCTCCCAATGTGTTCTAAAAGGGGTTCTCTTCTTGTTTATTTTGGAGGGGGAGACAGAGTCTTGCTAGAGTACAGTGGCATCATCAGAGCTCACTACAACCTCAAACTCCTGGGCTCAAGCCAACCTCCTGTCTGAGCCTCCCAAGTAGCTGGGACTACAGGCATGTGCCACCATGCCCAGCTAATTTTTTCTACCTACCCATAATCATAACTACCTACCCAAAGAAGCATTCTAAGAGTGCCAAATTTCCCTTAATTAGACTTAAGCTCTCTCTGTTCTCAAGTTCAACAGCATTTCTTTGTGTATTACAGAACTTACCAAAGATTCTTCTGTATTCGCATTATGTATGTATATTTGCTACTAGATTCTGAGTTCCTGTGGCAGTAGAGACCAGCGCTTAGTCACCTTTGCATCTTATATAACTACTAGAATACTACCTTTCCCAATGTAAGGTTTCAATAAATGTCATCTTGAATTTAATTGAACAATAACCCCATGTTTTTCAATTATACAAAGCTACCCTGTTAAACGAGTTAAGATAAAAGATAACATTTATAACAACTTTAAAAAATAATACGGCCGGGCGCTGTGGCTCACGCCTGTAATCCTAGCTCTTGGGAGGCCGAGGCGGGCGGATTGCTCAAGGTCAGGAGTTCAAAACCAGCCTGAGCAAGAGCGAGACCCCGTCTCTACTATAAACAGAAAGAAATTAATTGGCCAACTGATATATATATATATAAAAAAAAAATTAGCCGGGCATAGTGGCACATGCCTGTAGTCCCAGCTACTCGGGAGGCTGAGGCAGAAGGATCACTCGAGCCCAGGAGTTTGAGGTTGCTGTGAGCTAGGCTGACGCCACGGCACTCACTCTAGCCTGGACAACAAAGTGAGACTCTGTCTCAAAAAAAAAAAAAATAATAATAATAATAATAGTAGTTATTTCTTCTTAGTCTAACTATGTATCTTATATAAGGTCAACTCAAGACTGACATTTTACATTCCTCAAGAGGTGCTGGTGAAGTGCCAAAGAAGTATACCTTGCTATATATAATTCAGGGGATGCAGATGCAAATGCCTTCAGGAGCTTAAGGAGATAATACACTAGCTGAGTGAAGCAGGCCAGGGGTAAGAAAAACAACAGCACAGGCCCCCTAGGTCTGTGATGTGATGAGAACTGGAGGAATCATGGTGAAACAGAGCATACAAGTCTCATCTAACAGGAACAGCTACAACCTGGCTCCAGTGATTGCTGCCGAAGGAATATGTCCAAGGCTGCCAGATATTCCAATTTTTCTATAGGTCAGAAATCATGATTTTTATTTGAAATCTCCTAAATTTTATCTAGTAGTAACAAGCCAGTCATAAATATTTTAAGCACTGTGAAAGCTAAACAGAGCATATCATACAAGATGCTAAATTTGATAACTGTTTTTTACATTTTGTCAGGAAAAAGTCCAATGTAAATCAAAACTTTACAAGTGGTATTATATGTTCCCATTGATTTATACTGTACTTTAATATTTATTTTGGATTGATTTTCAATTTTCCATGGCTTTTAATACTTTGGATTAAGTCACACTGCCTTTTAGACTCTTTTCAAGTAGTCAATAAGCTATATGCAATTTAAATATGTCATGGGATACTAATTTTTAAGGGAATCCCTTTATGAAATATATATTAAATTTATAATATAAATAACTGTCCTCTAATTTGTTAATCTGACTTTTCATGCATTGGATTTTCTTCGTAAACACAAGTCTGTCCACAAAACGGGCAGAGTAATACCTAACTCATAAAGTTGACATGAGGTTCAAATGAGTTAATAGTGAAGTTGGTAAGAGCATGAACTCTAAGCTAAACTGTCTGGGATTGAACCGCACCTCTAACAAGCAATATCTGGCTGACCTTCAGCAATTTATTTAATTTCTCTGCCTCAGTGTCCTGTAAAATGAGATAATAACAGTACCTAGCTCTCAGAATTATTGTGAGGTTTAAATAAATTAATACATGTAAAATTATTGGAATAGTTAGTGCCTGGTACATACTTACTGAATAGATGCTAGCTATTACTCAACATGAGCTGTTATGATTACTTTCTGTGATAACTTCAGTGACCATAACAGAGAGTCTGGGATAGTACATGTGGGGTAGGCCTGTGCCCTCCATGATGTCTTCAGAGCCAGGGCAGCCTGTGGCTGAAGTTTCTTCTTACACAAAGCCTATGGCATATGGAGATGTAGCACCAGATTCAAGTGTACTCCACCTGAACCATAAGATGAGACAGATGACGTATGAGCTGTAGTGGTCAAAGCAGGAGAGCTTCCCTTAAGAGGCGGATTGCTTAGCGGTTACAAACAGGTTGAAGAATTCAGACTGCAAGAATGTGAATTCTGGTCCACTATTTTCAAACTGTGTGACCTTGGGGAAGTTACTTATCCTTTCTTAGTCTCCGTTTCCAAATATGTAAAATGGTGACAAACAAGACCTAGTCATAGAGCTATAGTGAGAATTTAATGTCACCTTACATACAATGTGCTTAGCCAGTGCCTGACTTATGGTAAGTGCTCAAGAGGATTCCCTATTACTTTTACTCTCGGACAGTTCAAGCTTGTGAATTTTAACTACCCTCTCCAGTGACCCACATGGAATCCTGATGCTCAATGGAAAATGATTCAAAGTGATACAGTGATATGATATGAATCTGTCCTAATGAAAAAAACGTAAATACACGGCATAACTGTAATAGGCTAAAACCTGTGCTCCCCTCAAGCTCTTCACAAAGAGAAAAGTCAAAGAACAAAAGACATCAAAGAAGGCAGGCTCATCCATGGGCAGACAACATTGTCCTCCTTATGGTTGGTTGTTAAAGTGAGGCCAACATAGGCCTCTGCTCTGCATGTTGTAAGAGTGAGTGCTTAATAGTAATTGAAATCCAGAAAGAACATGCTTTAAAAGAGGAAATAATCTCTAGCTGAACTCCAATCACCAGGTACTCTTCCCATTTGATAGGTAGACAAGTGCTTTTTAACTGTTTATAAAAAGTGTGTTTTATGTAATGCATGTAGTAAATGAAAGAAAGCATATAGCAAAGGAAAAGGAAACACAAAAAAGAACCTAAGTGAAAAAAAAGTTTTAAAAGAAACTACCACCTTTAACCACAAAGGCTTACAATGTGCACTGTGTAAAGACATCAGGAAAAATACATGCAGATGAGATCTAACTGAAATCTAATCATGATTATTGTTATATGAATATATGAATATTTTGAGCCTTTTAACTATACCCATGTGTAGTCTACTACAAAATTAGCATTTTCTATTTCTAGCCCATTTTTTAGCCATCCCTTACACACTGATAAACTATATCACAAGTACTAGCTGAGATAGTATTTTGTTACCTGGATGTGGACTAGAGGTGATGAGGCTCCATTCGTTGATATCTGAATTGTAGCTCTGGACCTTGTCATAGGTGCAGCTTCCTCTGTAGCCGCAGTGGCCACCAATGACATAGATAATTTCATGTAAGACACAGGCAGTAGCATTTCCCACACCTGTGTGTTAATTAAAACCACATCTTTAGATTGACCTTCATTCTTTTTTGCAATGAATACTGAGCTAAGTTTATTATAGTTTTTGTTATCATTGATGGTAAATGCAAGGTATTGTGCTAGGTGCTATGAGGGATAAAAGAATAAAAAAGGAAAGCTCCTTGTGCTCTTTTAAAAGAGGGTAAGACATGCATACAAATACAGTCATGCACCATGTAATGATGTTTCAGTCAACTGCAGACCACACATGATGGTGGTCCCATAAGATTTGACGGAGCTGAAAAATTCCTATCACCTAGTGACATCATCATAGTTGTTATAAAGACATAGCTCAAAGTATTACTCACGTGTTTGTGGTGATGCTGGTGTAAATAAACCTATTCCTCATGAAGAGCCTCAGGCAGGTCCTTCAAGAGGCATTCCAGAAGAAGGTATTGTTATTATAGGAGATAACAGCCCCATACATGTTATTGCCCCTAAACCTAAAGACCTTCCAGTGGGACAAGATGTGGAGGTGAAGGACAGTGATACTGATGATCCTGACCCTGTGTAGGCCTGGGCTAATGGTGTTAGTTTTAACAAAGTGTTTAAAAAGTAAAAAAAAAAAAAAAAAAAAAAAAAAAAAAATTTTAAATAGAAAAAAGCTTATAGAATGAGGATATAAAGAAAAAATGTGTATATACTTATACAATGTGTTTGTGTTTTAAGCTAAGTGTTAACAGAATTAAAAAGTTTTTTAAGGCCGGGCGTGGTGGCTCACGCTTGTAATCCTAGCACTCTGGGAGGCCGAGGCGGGCGGATTGCTCAACGTCAGGAGTTCAAAACCAGCCTGAGCGAGACCCTGTCTCTACTATAAAAATAGAAAGAAATTAATTGGCCAACTAATATATATATATATATAATTAGCCGAGCATGGTGGTGCGTGCCTGTAGTCCCAGCTACTCAGGAGGCTGAGGCAGTAGGATGCTAGGCTGACGCCACGGCACTCACTAGCCTGGGCAACAAAGCAAGACTCTGTCTCAAAAAAAAAAAAGTTTTTTAAAAGTTTATAAAGTAAAAAGTTATAGTAAGCTAAGGTTAATTTATTATTGAAGAAAGAATTATTTTTGGTAAAAAGTCTATAGTAATATACAGTAATGTCCTAGGCCTTCACATTCACTCACCACTCACTGACTCACCCAGGGCAACTTCCAGCCTTACAAGCGCCATTCATGGTTAGTGTACTATACAGTTGTATCATTTTTTATCTTTTATACCATATTTTTACTGTACCTTTTCTGTTTAGATATATGAATATTTACTATTGTGTTATAATTGTCTACAGTACTCAGCACAGGTTTGTAGCCCAGGAGCAATAAGCTATACCATCTAGGTTTATTTAAGTATATTCCATGATGTTCACACAATGATGAAATCACCTAGTGATGCATTTCTGAAAATGTACCTCCCCGCCCCCCGTTCCCCCCCCCCCAGGTTGTTAAGCAAAGCCCGACTGTAATTAGAACACAAGGGCTAGAATAGAAAAAGTACCATAAATAAGGGGAAAATGAATGACTGGGAATGGTCCGAGCAAAGAGACAATGCTTTTGACTGGAAATCACGGCAGGGGGTGGCAGAAGTTGACTCCTACCTTGGTAGGTAGGATTTGGGCAGGTAGAGGTGAAAGGAAGACATTCTAGGCAGAGGGATAGGCCAGTGCATAGGCTTACTGAACAATGTCAAATAGCCTAGTTTGACCAGGGCAGGTAGCACATTGTTACATGAGAATTAAGGCTAGCATGGTAAGCTGAAGCCACGTAGCAAAGGATACTGATGCCCAGCTAAGAATATGGACTTAATTCAGTGAGATTTTTTAAAGTTTTTAAACAGAGGAAGGGCGGAGGGGTGAGAGGACAGGTGTCAGAAAGATCGAGGTACTGGCCCAGCTGAGGAGTAGCAAAGGCTTGATTTAGATGGGGTATGGAGGGAAGAGCACAGAAGCAAGAGACAAAGTTAAAACAGATAGTCCTTGATGAATGACTGAGTCAAAGACAAACCAGACTGATTCTGTGGTTCTGAGCTGGAAAACTAGGAAACACTGATGCCACAGAAAGGAGGAAATGAGTTCAGCAGGGGAAGACAGAGAGGAAGAAAGATGATGAGATTCATTTTAGTTGAAAAGCTGGTTTTGTCTTTCCACCATCTTTTACTTAGCACTGTTATAGGTGGGATCCACATAAATGAATCTTCCTGTTCATTTCTACTCCAAAATAAAAGTGGGTCTTTTATGAAAAAAAATTTAGTAGTTCCTACACAGCCAAGTATTTATTTCTTGTGATGTACATCACATCCCTAGACTCAAAAAGGAAATGAATTTGAAATTTGACTCTATCCATATTAAGTTCTCATGAGCTACCAGGGAAAGCTGTTAGTTCACTTCATGACAACAAAATAAAACAAACTGAGAAAAATGTTATCCTTTCTACGAAAAATGGGAAACTAGAAGTTCAGTATGAGTTTAACCATCAGAACAAACACTAGTCAAAACTGCATATAACTGACAAAAAGTGTTACCCTTCCCTTGGATGACTAGATATAAACAAGAATCAAAGATTCGAGTTACAAGCATAAAACTAGAATTTCAGACCCAGCTGGGAGGTGAGGAGACCTTTGTGGGATGAGGGTCTCCTATTCCACTCAAAGCTAAGGCAAGAACACATATAGGTTTCTTTCACAGTAGATACATTTTCTTTTCAGCAAGTACTGTTTCAAATACAATTTTTAAAAATTTCAGTAAAGTAATAAACTTCCATCCTCAAAGAATATACTCATAAAACCACTGATAACCACTGTTATCTCATTATCAAGAAACATAAGCAGAAATATATCCAGGTTTACAATAGCAGCTAAAATATCACTTTCCTTGTTTCTTTTTCAGGAGAAGAGTCAGGACATTCTGAACCATCCTGGAGTCAGTAAGCAGCAGTCAAGCTCTGGGAAAGCCAAAAATCAGAGCAGCAATAGCAACAGGCTTTAAGCTACCTCTCCTACCCTACCCACTATTGTTGAACCTGTGGGCATGTATGAGTGGTCATGATTTAGTATTAAAGATATTTCTGCCCATCAAAACTGACATGTTCTTCTATAATGATGTTCATGACAATTATGTGTAACGTTTACTGAGTGCTTACTCTGTCAGATATTGTTCTAAGCACTTCACAAGCATAAGGTCACTCCTCTCAGTGACTTCAGGCTATGTAATATTGACATCTTCATTTTACAGATGGCAAAACTGGGGCACAGTGAGACTAAATAATCTATCCAAACTTACCAGCAAGTAAGGGGATTTGGACCCAAGCAGTTTAGCTCCAAAGCAGTGTGCCTGATCACAAGACTATTCTGCCTCTCAGCTTCCTGCTTGTCGTCCAAGGATCATACCAGGTCAGATTTCCAGACCAGGTCAAATTCCCACACCCTCACTAGCATTAAAAAAGAAACAGAAAGGCCTGGGAAGAATCACTTGGGACAAAATTTGGTAACAACCTATCAGCTGCTTTTGTACAACTCCCCAGCACCAAAGAATAAATGTAATGAAATAAGATTCCAGTTTAACTTTTTTTCCAGTGGGAGAGAAGGAGATGAAGCCTAATATATCACCAAATACAGAAGAAAATACAGTGTTTATCAGACAGATAGTTGAGATCCAGTATTGTGCCTGGCTCTGTGGGCCATGTGAGGGAGGGTATGGTGTCTGCCCCTGTGCTTTGAGTTTTAAGACAAGACTGAATTACAAAAAGCAGGTTGTTTCTGGTTCTTGAGAGAATGTACTTTGTTACATAGTATAGGGAACAAAGCTTCCAAGGTTTTAATGAAGGACCTCTTGAGAGACGATCAGTGTATTTTGAGGGGAAAAAAGTTGAATAGTTAGAAGCAGAAATGAAAAGTGTTCAATTTTAAAAGAAAAAAGTTAAAACATGAACTAATAAAATTATCCAGATTTGTCTCTTCATTTACCCTTTGACTTAAGTATAAATTCTTAAGACTTGAAGCAAGATCTAGAATAAGACCTAAAGTTAGGATGTAAAGTAGAATGAAATATACTGTTTCCTTATATAAATGATATTTCTTTTCTATTAGAGTAGCATACCCTAATCACATAGCTCTGAGACAAGTTGAAGACTCTGCTATGCTATGTTTTTTTGCCTGGAACATTCTGTGCAGCATTGGTTGTGTAATCCACTAGTTACTAGATAGCATCCCAAAGTGATAAATTCAAGAGAAATGAGACTGCTGGCCTAACCCCAGACATCTAAAACATACAGAATAAACATAGTCTGTACTTACCTTTAATCATGTTTGCAATAGGAATCCATTTCTCTTTTAATGGATCATAGAACTCAGCCTCTTCTGCTGGAGCCCCTTTTCTGTAACCACCTAAAGCATAGACACAGCCACCCAACGTGACTGCACAGTGGTAATACCTGGCACTGAGCATTGGCAAACCTTCTGTCCATTCATCATTTTCACTGTTATAGATCCACACTGTGTCAAGAGCTTCTATGTTATCTGTCCTGTAGCCCCCAGTTACATAGATGTTGGGTCCTAAACATGTAACACCGTAGCTCTCCCTGGTATAATCTGGTATTTCTGCTCCCTGAATCCAAACATTTGTCAAAGGATCCCATATGTGAACCTCTGATAAAGGATGCCAGTAATAGCCTCCAATGATATACATTGTGGCTGTGGACCTCTGGGAAATCTCTTTATGCATGGGATTCAAGGCATTGTATATTAGAGAGCGTATCTTATTTTCAGTTAGTAGGCAGCTTCTTTGAAGGCCTAAAGCTGTTTTTAAATACACTGGATCTATATCTATGTTGATATAGCTTAGCAGATTATATAGGCATTCAATTCGATTTTCTACATCATGAGCAGTCCACTTAATAACTGGCTCTATGATAGCTTCTTCTTTCCAAACACTGAGATTCTTTCTGGACAAGATAAAGAGAAACTTTTCAAGGCTGATTTCCAGAAATTCTTCTTGTTGCCATACTTCCTTAAACCTTGAACACAGAATTCTTCGAGATTCCTTCTCTAATTCTGGACACACATGAAATTCTGCAAAGGAGTGCATTCCAATACAATTATCAATATCCAAGTGCCTTACCAAAAACTGCTCACAAGCCTTCTTTACTGAAAGGAATTGTAGCAGATCTGCTGCCTCAAGCAGGCTTTGAACATTTCTTTTAGTTATTTCAATTTGGGAGGTATATGCATAATTTACAAGGCCTTCCAGAATATCATGGTGGATGCCAGAGAGTTTTATTTTATCTTTAAATTTTTCTTTCATGTCAGCTGTGAACATTGCCTTAAAATAATTGCTGCAAGCAGCTAAAACAGCTCGGTGACAATGGAAGATTATGCCTGAAGGACACTGAAGGGTAATATCAGTAAATAATCCATCCAAGTAAAATGTTCTGAATGCATCCAGAAAATCCACTGGATGTGTCGAATCCTTGAAAATATAAATATAATCTTCTTGTCCTTTTAGAGCCATGGCTGCAATAAACATGAAATAATAAACGTGTTTCAATTTTGCACATTACCTCAAATAATCAATGCTAAATATTCCAATCATTCTAATGATTAACTAGCATCGGATACACCCCAAAACTAGGCTAAGTTCAGCATTCTAAGTAACAAATGAAAAACGTGGACGGACTGTTTCATAATTTATATGGTGGTCAATTGAAATTCAGGGTAGCTGGGAGCCTGAAATGAGGCCCCCAGATTTCGCAGTAGTCCTTTTGAGAATACTGATTTGCTAACCCATTCACCCAGTCTCCGCAGTGTGCCCTGGCCTGGCGGTCTGAGAGGAGATCCCACACCAGGCAAGCCAAGTGTCCCAGGGGTCACCCCACTCGAGGCCGACCCTTGGCCGCCTCAGCTCAGCCTGGCCCCAATTCAACCTTTCCCCCTAGCTCCATCTCCCTTTCCAATCACATCGAAATGCCAAGAAAGGGATGACTGAAATATAAGTGGGCAATAAGAAATCTCAGAAAAGGGTAATCTCGTGCCTCTTAGCTTAAGCGCAGAGATAAAGGAAAGCGGACCGGCCTGGCGCAGCCTCCCCAGCCCGCGCCCCCTCCCCCGCCCGCCGCAGGGGCTTCTGCGCGCCGGGCGCCTGGGCCCCTATCCCACGTTCCCGCCCGGAGACCGCCCCGCCCCGGGGCCTGGCGCGGGCTTGACTGGAGGGCGCCGCGTGCCACCCGTCGGGCCCGGTGCCCACGGCCCTCGCCGGGCACCGGTGCAGGTGTGGGGAGGGCACCACAGGCAGCCCCGCGCGCCGCGTTCGGCCCGGCCCGGCGCCCGCGCGGCCATTGTCTGTGCTCTTCTGCCGCGGGCGGGCTCCAGACGCGGCGCGGCCTCGCCCTCCCGCGCCTGGCCCGCTCGCTCCCCGCCGCCTGGCCTCGGGCGGCGGGTCCGCACAGCACCTACCTCCGGCAGAAGCTTCGGGACGCGGTGCTGGCCCGCGGGCTAGCAGCGAGCGGGAGCGGGGGCGCCGCCGGACCCTCTGACCATCTTTGGAAGAGGCGCGGCGGAGACTGCCTGCTAGTGCAGCGCCAGCCCACAAGCGGCTCCTATTTTGGTGTCCCGGCTGCTCCCCCACCTCCACCCGAACAGCCCCCCGTACGGCCTGGGCGCTGGGCCACTCGCGGGAACTCCCCCATCGCCCGGCCGCGCGGCTGCGGCCCCTCCCCGGCGGTTCCCCCCGCAGCAGGTGGGACGGCTTCCCTGCCGAGACCGCCCGCTCCGCTGGCTTCCCCCTCTTTCCTTGGCTCTACCGCGCCCTCTCTCACACACACTCCCGAGCGTCTTCTCTTAGATAAACTCTGAGTCCCAAATTAAGACCATATATGGGTGTGTATGCACTTTTTCCTCTGCCTCAGTAGCTCTCACCACCCCAGGCCCTAATGGTGAGGGGAGATAGAAAAGTGTGGAGGAAATGTGGGACTGGAGCTGCCTTCGAAATGCCAGAAGTAGCCTCCCTTGCCCACAAAGGCCATGCCACGCCCAGCAGAGCACTCAGGAAGGAGCTTTTGGGGCTGACTGGCACATTGCGGGTTAACCAGCTTTGAGGAAAACTGGGGTCAGCCAGGGCTAGGATTGGGGTAACTTAATTTAGAGCGCAGTAGCGGCAAGGAGCAGCCTCCAGCCTTTTTGGTAACAATCTATTCACATAAAAATGTTCATGTGCTATGCCAGAAAGTTCATTTTCTTGTTCCAACAAAAGCTAATATCAAATGTTTTCATATATCATTCATTTCTTTTTTTAGATAAAAAATTAAAATTGCTAATCCTCTCTGTATCATTACAATTTTAGTATATGTGCTGCTGAAGCGAGCACAAATTTGTTAGCAAGATTTTATTAAGTGCCTTATGAGTGCCTGATAGCGCTAGGCACTAGTAATAACAGATTTGAAAGATGGTCCATAATTTTCATGGGCCTTACAGTCTAGCCACCTTAAGGGAGGAAGGTGGTCAGGTGGAAACCACCGGAGGCCCAATGTGTTTCTCAGAGGATGGTCTGAGAAACAGAATATACAGATGGACAATGGTCATACAATACATGACAACAGAACTCTGAACCACATAAGAAGCCAAACCACAACCTTTGCAGCAACTGGACAAGAACAGGAAGTGGTCCACGATTTCCAACTTCCCTACTTTTAGCTCTATTTCCATTTCAGCACCAACCTAAGAAAGCCAAATATGTTCCCCAAACCAGTCACATAAAATACCCCCCACTTGTAGTAGCCCACCTCCAGCTTTCCCATGCTAACAACCTGCAGTCAGAGCATACCTGGGCTTTTCTTTTTTTTCACTTCCGTAAACCTTTCCCATTCCCCTGCCTGTCTTTGAGCCTCTGCCAAAGGCAAGTGATGGTGACTGACTCTCTTGCTATAGCATGCTCTGAATAAATAGCATCTGTTTGTTCTCCTCTGGGTGGTTTCCTCGTAATTCCACATATCAGACCATCTTAACTGAATTACATGGGATGCTGCTTATGCAGCACCCCATAAAACTACCATCTCTGGGGTGGGGACCTAGGAACCTGCATTCTAATCAAGGGAGCAGGTGATTATCATGCACAATTAAGAAAATGTGTGTTGGATCCAAAATGGAAAAAAAAAATGAAAGGTTTAACATGCCAACATCTGGTAAACAGTTTAGTAGAAAAAGAAAGCATATGAGATTTAATTTCAGGCTTAAGGTTTAGCTCTGCTACGTATCTAACGTATAGCCTTCAAAAGTTACTAAACGTCTCTAATCCTTAGGTTTCTGATCTGTAAGACGTAGACAATATCAATACTTTCTCAAGTTAACATAAAGTTATTGGAAAGATAAAATTACTAATGTGAAAGCACTTAGGATCTGGTATATAAATGTTAGCTATCATAATAAAAGATATTTACACTTAATTCTCCATTACAACCTCAATTTGGAAGTTAATATCTTATTATTCTTCAAAATTATGAACTTTGTAGTTAATTGTAATGATACTTTGTTCTTCATAATTGATAGTGATGCTATTGTCAGTGTTGCCATTCAAGGATGCAGTTGTGACTGATTTAAGAAGCATTCTTTCTATTAAATATTTTTGTCACCGAAGTGTAGAGATGGCTATTTTTTTTTTTTTTTTGAGACAGAATCTTACTCAGTTTCCAAGGCTAAAGTGCCATGGAATCAGCCTAGCTCACAGCAACCTCAAACTCCTGGGCTCAAGCAGTCCTTCTGCCTTAGCCTCTTCAGTAGCTGGGACTACAGGCATGCGCCACCATGCCCGGCTAAGTTTTTCTTTATATTTTTAATTGTCCAGATAATTTCTATTTTTAGTAGAGACCAGGTTTTGCTCTTGCTCAGGCTGGTCTTGAACTCCTGACCTTGAGCGATCTGCCCGCCTCAGCCTCTCAGAGTGCTAGGATTACAGGCGTGAGCCACCTCGTCTGGCCGAGATGGCTATTTTTTTAGCTATAGTTACTGTTTGCCAAGTTTGTGCATAGAAAATATTATAGGCTCCATCTAACTTAGAGCAAGGACTTTTAGAATCATAACTACATGTAATAATAAATGATTTTTGAATAATTGAATTCACTATATAGTCACTTGTGCAGTTATTTCAGATTGCTGCATGGACCAATTGAAACATTTGCTTCCATTGCCTGATGTTCCTTGGTTGTGAATTATTGGTAAACATATCAGTGTGTATGTGTGTGTGTGTATGTATAGTGTGTGTGTACATATATATATATATACTATTAGACTGCTTCACCTAGCCAAGAGAAGAGCAGGTTTTGTAGGATATTACCTGGAATAGTTTCCCTTTATCATGTTTTATCAAAGAGACTATTTCCAAGTGCTGACTGATTTGATGCCTTCAGAAACATATAATTAGCTCTCATAAGTCAAATAAATTAATGACACTGTTCAAGAAAACAGATGTGCCATCCGGGATTCCAAGTTTTAAAGAAATGAAGAACCACCATGGAAATGAGACATAAGCAATTTGGCAGATAGTAAGCATAACATGGAATTTGATGCTTTGTTGACATCACACTTCACCTTTTAAAGGACTCCTGGTCCTAAAAATAATAATTGTTTTTCCCTTGTTAGTACATCTTCCCACTAAGTACAGCCATGCCATTAAATGTTTGATATGCTAATTGTGATACCATTATCAATGTGTGTAGATGATGGATATAGATAGAAAAATTTTGTGTACTGTATTTACATACTGGATTAAACAAGTTGCTGGTAAGTAAAAAAAAAAGAAGTAGGCCGGGCACAGTGGCTCATGCCTGTAATCCTAACACTCTGGGAGGCCGAGGCGGGCGGATTGCTCAAGGTCAGGAGTTCGAAACCAGCTGGAGCAAGAGCAAGACCCCGTCTCTACTATAAATAGAAAGAAATTAATTGGCCAACTAACATATATAGAAAAAACTAGCCGAGCATGGTGGTGCATGCCTGTAGTCCCAGCTACTTGGGAGGCTGAGGCAGCAGGATTGCTTGAGCTCAGGAGTGTGAGGTTGCTGTGAGCTAGGCTGATGCCATGGCACTCACTCTAGCCTGGGCAACAAAGCGAGACTCTGTCTCAAAAAAAAAAAAAGAGGTAGGCAAAATTTATAAGGCCACCACATTCCAATGACTGGGTAAAAATACTTTTGGAAGCCAGAAGTTTCCAATTTCTTGTTTTCAACAAAAGTGAAAGAAGACTTTTGACAAATAACTTGGAAAGGACTCACAAAATGAGTGGCATTACCATAACAAAATTTGATCTATTTATATGTGAACAAATCTTCTCAGGGATTATATCCATAAAAATGATAGGAGTATCATTGATCCTAAATGCTGTCTCATTCCAGCAGTAATACTGGTTCATTCCAGGAATACTCAACTAAGGATATATGCCCTAAATAAAAAGAAGATAGTCCCATTCATCAAGATTGAAATATTTTTTGATAAATTATAATAATAATGTTAATCAGTTCAGAATTTTAAAAATAATCAAGGACACAGAATAGTTTAAATTTTAATTTATGTTTATTTTGTTACAGAGGTTAAGAGATGATTAATAAAAGATTTTCAAGTATAAAATATACAGAAAATACTTTCTTTGAATGGTTCCGATATGCATGAATTTTAATTACTACAATTTAAATAACACCTGTCCCTTAAGAACAAGGTTTAAATTTCAGTTACTGTGGCATATTAACTGTGAGTTATTACATAAATGCAAATTTGGGGGCTAGCTCTTCATGTCCACAAATTACTACACTAGCAGATGTGCATCGTGATCAGTGTCCAGTCACATCTCTTCTTTCAAAGTCTGTCAGTGATTGATCACTGTGCATCTGTGATTCAGTTCACAGACTGCAAGGCTTGTAATTGTGTTGCCTCCCTGTCTGCCTGTGAAATGTCTGTTATGTGACATTTTATGAAAATGGATAATTGAAAGAGGGTATTGAAAATGGATAATTGAAAGAGGCCAAGAAGGATCAAAGTGTAGCAAGGAAATAAAAAGTGGTAATTCTGTGAATGAAATTTGAAGTGAACATAATGAAGCTGTAGAGGAAATAGCTGACATGGTAATTTTGATGCTTGTACCCTTGGAGAGAATCCAGATATGTAGCCGGGGCTACTTAGTGCAGATTCATTTCATGACAAAAGTGAGGGAAGTGGTTGTGATGAAAAGGATGAAGGTGTCCCAGAAGAAGTGATACTGGCAAAAAAATGTCCACTAAAGGAACTCTTGGAGATATTGTATGATACTGAAAGTGCGAAGGATAACACGTTGGAAGCTGATCTAAACTTAGAGTATGACAATTCACCAAGGCATAAAAGGATGGTCACTCCATATTGTAAATTCTGTGGCAAGAAGACAAGGAACTGTTCAAACTACTCTTGATATGTTTTTTACAAAGAAATAAAACACTTTAATCCTCAATGTTCCTAATATTTTATCTTATATTTATTTATTTTACTTTATTTCAAGAAAATATGAAAGTACGAACATTTTGGTTGCATTTTATATCTTTGCCTCTCCCTAGCAAAGATTAGAGGTATGCCCTTCCCCTCCACAATGCTCACCACATCCCTCAGATGTGGGTCTACCCCCACAACCCCGGAATCCCTGGTAATGTTTCTAATATTTTAAATTGCAATGTAATCTGGGAGGCCGAGGTGGGAGGACTGTTTGAGCTCAGGAGTTCGAGACCATCCTTAGCAAAAGCAAGACTCCATTTCTACAAAAAATAGAAAAAATTAGTGGGCCATGGTGGTGCATGCCTGTAGTCCTAGCTACTCGGGAGGCTGAGGCAGAAGGACTGCTTTAGGAGTTTGAGGTTGCAGTAAGCTATGACAGTGCCACTGCACTATAGCCCAGCGATTGAGCAAGAGACACTGTCAAGAAAAGAACAGAAAAAAAAGAAGAGAAAGAGAAAGAAAGATTACAACGTATTAAGTAA